TTGTAAGTCGCTTTGGATAAAAGCGTCTCCTAAATGACTAAATGTAAATGTAATGTAAATGATAAGCAGCGTTTCCTAGGAACACATAGTGTAATGAAATCTGCAGAACACATCTCAATAACAAAGTATATTAAATTAAGGCTCGTCTATTAAAACTGCCAGGCTTCTTACTGTGATCCTCAAGGCCTGTAATGTTTAAAACATGCCATTAAATATTCAATCCATTAAATATTACCATGTTTCTTGTTATCCATCCACTCGCCTGTGTATTGATCTCCATTGACAGAATACACAGTGTGATGCGGCCCACATTTTTGGGCTTTTTTGTCCCAGAGTTTTACAGGTGGTTCTGTAGTCTGGGGTCTCTTCAAGAAGGGCATACTGCACATAAAATATGATTAATATCATTAAAATGTTATTATCTGCCACTATAGTACTTTGTGTAGCACTTAAAAAAATGTAAATACATACGATAACAGATGAATATGGTAATCATAAAGTAGGCCTACTTAAATCTTACCTGTGACCACATTCACCATCCAAAACACTTAATTATATAATAAAAAAATTATATTGAAACTTTAAACTGGCCGATCTCGACTGACCTGTCAAACGAATTCGTGTACGGTAACCTAGCAACAAGCCTTGACTAATATTTATGTTCGCTGACGCTCCCGGTCATTAGGTGGCGACGTCATCCTCGGAATCTTATGCTGGCCTGTGATTGGTGGACTGGTGAAGAAGCGGAGCTTATATAAATGGCTAGCGCGCCAACTAGCGGCAGTGTGCGGCAGTGCAGCGCCAGCGCAGACGAGTACAATGTCACTGGAGAGATGTCAAAGTGAATGGACAGAAATAGAGCAAGAATATCAGCAAACACAGGTTTGAACTGGACGAATGTGTGTTATATTTGTGCTCCGATAGCCTAAAGATGAATCTTGTGTTAGTTAGGAAGCAAATGCGTCTGTTTTGGATGTTTGTGAGGCGGCTAACAGGCTTTAGCCTCTCATCAGATGAGCTGATATTCTTTTGTTACTGTAACGTTACATGTTTATTTAACCAGTATCAGTTCTCTAAAAACATATTTAAATGAATAAATATATCAGTGTATATGTTTTATTCTTTAAATAAATAAGGTGTGTTAGTTAAGTAGGTCTGATAATGATTCACGAATGTAACTGGTTAAACCAGGTTCGATGTTAACCAAGAGTTGTTGCTCAACTGTAAAAATGATCGTATGATCGATTCGTGATAGACAGGGTTAGATTGCAGGAGGGTGAAGCTCTAGAC